GCATCATCCACCAGTAAACAATAGCTTACAAAAGGCTTGTTCTAATTATAGGCTGTGATGTAATACTATAGTGATAGAAGTTTTGCAACTGCCTTAATGAACTAAGCATCCATTAGAACAGGGGAGTCAAACTGCTGGCCCGCGGGCCGAATGTGTCACGGGGAAGCCACGCCCACCCCATTGCCGGCAATGGCAAAAGTCCCGATACATTGCGCGACGTCATGTGACGTGAGTTTGACATGTGTGCATTAGAAGGTAGATGTAACCCTACCTCTATCAATTATATGGATACTGCCTTTTTCTGCCAACACTGAATTTTCAGCAAATTAAATGGCTATGAATATTTTAATGGGTTTTTTTGCATTTTATACCTTCATGGACAATTTAGAAATGTTTCATTTTATTGAAATGTAAGAAAGGCAGAATTCACACAAGGAAGTAGGAATGGAACAAACGAAAATATGCAGAGGAAGCAAAATTAACAATTTAAAAATTCCAGCATTCTACTTCAAACCCCTGAAAAAACTGTTTAAAATTTGTACAGCATTTCAATATAATTCAGAAATGGGGTGTCCTAAATCAAGATAAATCCATTTCATATATTTTTCCATAAAAATCAAAATATTGCAATGTTAACCACTGTCCGCCACATAAAGATATTAGTAAGAACATTGCACAACAATATTGGCTTAAAAAAAATATGCAAAACCTGGGAGTGGAACATAAATCAGTGCTATTGCTCATTGAAAGAACAAGGAGTTTAGAACTTTATACAGTCATGCTACAAATTTCACACCTTTAATCACACTGGGAGTACACAACATAAGACAACATCTTACAGTTCAGAACTGATTAGTAAAAAAAGCTCATATTAATAACCTGTACACTAACATTGTTTTTTTTAAACAGATACCACAAATCCATATTCATCACTTGAAAATTCAACACTGCATGTTAGATCTGCATGTTTTGCCTCCTTTACTAGATACATCTTCTGCCAATGGTCTATGTGCCGTAGACAAGTACAGGTACTGTATGTATATATCAATTATATTTTCCCTTAACTGTACTATATTCACATATTAGACAAATAATAGCTTTGTCATAGTTGATCTTACAACAGTATATACATAATTGGTGGTTATACCTGAAAAGATCTTCTGATCATACCTCCTTCAAGCTACTGTGGAAAAATGCTCTCTGATATGAAACTGTCCTCTTATCTAAAATCTGAATAAGCTATTCTGTGAAAGAGGAGGAATCAATCAAAAATACACTCAGTGTATCAGAGAAAAGCTAACATACACATACAGGTGACACTTTTGAAGTGGTAATAAGAAGCAGAATATTAACATACAGTGGATATAAAAAGTCTACACACCTTTGTTAAAATACCAGGTTTTTGAGATGTAAAAAAATCAGACCAAGATAAATCACTTCAGATTTTTTCCCACATTTAATGTAACATACAAGCTTGCACGATTCAATTAAAAAAAACCCTGAAAACTTTTAGGGGGAAAATATTACAGTAAGGTGGTTGCATAAGTGTATAAGCCTCTCATAAGTAGAGATGTGGCTGTGTTCAGAATTAACCAATCACATTCAAACTGATGTTAAACAGTAGTCAGTACACACCTGCCATCAATTAAAGTGACTGTGATCAAGCCCATATAAAGTTCAGCTGTTCTAGTAATATTTCTCTGACATTTACTCAGTTGCCTCTTACAGTAAAAGCCATGGTCTTCAAACATCTTAAAAAGCATCAAAGGGATCTCATTGTTGCAAGGTATCAGTCAGGAGAAGGGTACAAAAACATTTCCAAGGCATTGCATATACCCTGGAAGGCAGTGAAGACAGTCATCAACAAGTGAAGAAAATATGGCACAACAGTGATATTACCAAGAACTGGATGTCCCTCCAAAATTGATGAAAAAGAAAAAAGAAAAGTGGTCAGAGAAGCTGCCAAGAGGCCTACAGCAACTGTGATGACCCAGGGCCCCGCACGGAGGCAAAGCAGCCAGATGGCAAGAGAAACAGTCCTTTAATAATTGCCAATGTTCCCCAAAAGCTCCCACATATGCTAGCAAGCCTTCAACCAAAGCACACACACACATGTTCCTTTCAGCTGCCTCTGGCTGAAGGCAATTTCAATACAGCCGGAGAAGTATACAATGTCCTCAAGGCCAGACAGATAACAAGAAAACAAAACAAACTTAATGAGTCCTTTTAAATCTCAGCTTGCCTGCAGTCTGCAAGGAGAGACTCAGAAATGCAGTCTGCGGTCGTAAAGCAGGAAACCAGCTGGTTTCAAGGTGTCCAGGTTAAACAAAGACAAGAGCACAAATCACAACTGTCCCAAGATACCACGTTTGTTCCCGGCAAATGCCCCACCCCACAGCGTCTCCTTAAATCTTAATCTCCCGAGCTATTGAGCCTGTCTACGTTGTTCTCTCCTCCTCTCTGCTCTCCTTGATCTAGGATGGGGGGGGTGGGGGGGGCTTACTCCTCGCCTGAACTCTGCCTCCCCTGTTCCAAACCTGAAGGGCCCTGGCCTGACTCAGCCTGCTCTTCCCCACAGTCCTCTGAAGCCACAGACACCTCCTGGACCTCAACAGGGTCCTGCTCCAGCTCCATGTCTTCCTCGGATTCAGGCTCAGACGGAGGCATGACAGCAACATTAAAGGAGCTGCAGGAATTTCTAGCAAGTCCTGGTTGTGTACTACATGTGTACAATCTCCTTTATTCTTCATATGTCTGGGCTGTGGGGTAAGGTGGCAAGACGGAAGCCTTTTCTTACAAAGAAAAACATCTGAGCCTGGCTACATTTTGCAAAAACCTGCATCAGGTCTGGCAAAAGCATGTGGGAAAATGTGTTATGGTCTGATGAGACCAAGTTTAAACCTTTTGGCCACAATTCCCAAAAGTATGTTTGGTGCAAAAACAACACTGCACATCACCAAAAGTACACCATACCCACAGTGAAGCATGGTGGTCGCAGCATTATGCTTTGGGGCTGCTTTTCTTCAGCTGGAACTGGGGCTTTAGTCGAGGTGAAGGGAATTATGAACAGTTCCAAATATAGGTTAATTTTGGCACAAAACCTTCAGGTCTCTGTTAAAATGATGAAGATGAAAAGGACTTTCACCTTTCAACATGACAATGACCCAAAGCATACCTCCAGTTCAGCAAAATAATGTTTTTACCAGGCAAAGATCAAAGTTTTGGAATGGCCCGGCCAAAGCCCGGACCTGAATCCTATTAAAAATCTGTGGAGTGACATGAAGAAGGCTGTGCACAGGACATGCCCTTGCGATCTTGACAGATTTGGAGCACTCTTGCGAGGAAGAGTGGGCAAAGATTCCCAGGGCAAAATGTGCCATGCTGATAGGCTCCTACCCAAAAAGACTGAATGCTATCATAAAATCAAAAGGTGCTTCAACAAAGTATTAGTTTAAGCATGTGCACACTTATGTAACCACATTATTGTACATTTTTTATTTTTATTCCCCCCCCCAAAAAAGATTTTAGTTTGTTTTTCAATTGAATTGTACAACTTAAATGTTAAAGGTGGAAAAATTCTGAAGTAATTTATCTTGGTCTGATTTTGTTTTTATATCTCAAAAATCTGGTATTTTAACAAGGATGTTTAGACTTTTTATATCCACTGTACTTACAGTAGAGATGCTTGAACATTTTAGAGTTCTGTAAATTGCATGTATCTGATCATTTTCATCTTTTCAGAAAAAAACACCATCCCAAAATTAACGTGTAATTCTCAATGTTTGTAGTATGTGTATATCCTACGCTGCCTTATGGAAAGATTTTTGTTTTTTGCATAATTGCATCACTGCTAAGAAAAGTGATATAGAAACTGCTATTCAAAGTTTAAAGCAAAATTTCTCAGAAAAATGATAATCTATTAGGACAGTTAAAAACACACAATTTAAAACTAGATGTTCCTTTGTAATCAGATACTAGGTACCACGTTTCCCCCAAAATATGACCCAACCAGAAAATAAGCCCTAGCCTGATTTTTAGCATGCTCCTAATATAAGCCCTACCCCCAAAATAAACCCCAGTTAAGATTGTCATCAGCCCTGGCCAGTACAGGAGGTGGCGAGCGTGCGGGAGCCGACAGTGTCCGGCAGCAGCCACAGCCCGTGCAGTGCAGATGAGTCCGAGTGCTGTGACCACTGGGCCGGCCCTCCAAGCAGAGGCGTGCGGGGGGGGAGGCAGGAGATCCTGATGCGCAGTGGCACCACCAGCAGGCAGAGGCACGGGGGGGAGGCAGGTGATCCTGATGCGCCACGCGGCCACTTGCTGCTTCAACTGGTAATCAACTCACCTGCGCTGCGCAGGCTGCGAGTGTGCTGCGGCTGCTGCCAGACACCGTCGGCCCCCATTCACTTACTGCCTCTTGTGCGCACGCTGGGGGGTGGGGCACCTGGCCAGACGGATCACCCTGATTATTGTGTTTCCCCAAAAATAAGCCCTAATGCATCTTTTGGAGCCCCCCCCCAAAAATAAGACCGGGTCTTATTTTTAGGGAAACACGGTATGTACCCAAATTTCCACATTTTTATATATTTCTATTACTTTTGAAGTCTCTTTAGTTGTACAGAAGGGACAGCAACATAAATTATTATAATCATTTTCTAATGTATAATAATTATCTAATGTAGCATACCAATTTAAAGCTTCAATCCAAGCTATTTTTGCAAGAGCAAACTCCAACAACTCCTACAAAGGACAAGTCCTTGCTTATAGGCAAAGAACAATTTTAACAACAGAACTTAGTTGCACAGAAACCCTTACAAACTCATAATTGGTATCAAAGAAATTGCCTGGGAGCAGGGAGAGAGGAAAAGAAAATATTTAATAGAAGTTACTTTAATAGCTATATAACTTTGAATAGATTTTAGGCATTTATAACAAATTTAATGTAGAATGTTAACTGGCAGTCACTGCCATTGTAATAAAAATGCTCAACACAAATGTCCATAATATATACATAACTTTAATTGAACATGTTGATAAAATCTGAGAGGATCGGAAATATCAAGGATATCCCTGCATTTTTAAGTCATTGACATGGAGTGGGGGAAGGGAGGAGATAGAAAAAATGGGTAGAAGTTCATCATGTATACTCACTAACTCCAGCTGTCAGTCTTCCTAGAAGTTAATAAGAGCTAATGAGACTGTTTCAATGCAGCGTTGTTCTTAACTTTAGAACACTGAAAGAGGAGCATCCTGCTTCATTATTTCCCATAACCTAGTTATTTTTAAACTCTCAGGATTTCCAGACAGTTGTTGTAACAGATGGCGATCCAGTCTGGCTGAGTTGATGCCCACTGCACATTGTTAATTTCTCCTTCTGCTGTGTAAGCCAAGATTGGATCCTCAATGGCACGAGGCATTTGCTGGATATCCCAAATGAGAGCTTGATGGTCATCCGCTGTCAAAGGTGAAATATAGATTTAGTTAAGTTTTCTTTGCAGATAATTTATTCATCCATGTATCCCAAAATAGATAAGAAAAGCCTTGAGAAATCATTGGGGTCATTACTATCAAATACAGTCATGTGAAAAAGAAGGTACACATTCTTTGAGTTCTATGGTTTTACGTATCAGGACATAGTAAAAATCATCTGGTCCTTAGCAGTTCTTAAAAGTAGGTAAATACATCCTCAGATGAACAACACATGGCATTTTACACCATATCGTTTATTTTACAAAAAGAAAGCCAAAATGGAGAAGCCATGTGTGAAAAACTAAGTACACCTTATGATTCAATGGCTTGTAGAACCACCTTTAGCAGCAATAACTTGAAGTAATCGTTTTCTCTATGACTTTATCAGTCTCTCACATCATTGGGGAATTTTGGCCCACTCTTCTTTACAACATTGCTTCAGTTTGTTGAGGTTTGTGGGCATTTGTTTATGCACAGCTCTTGAGGGCCCGCCACAGCATTTCAATCGGGCTGAGGTCTGGACTTCGACTGGGCCAGTGCAACACCTTCATTCTTTTCTTTTTCAGTCATTCTGATGTAGATTTACTGGTGTGCTTGGGATCATTGTCCTGTTGCATAACTTAATGTTGGCCAGGCTTTAGCTGTTGGACAGATGGCCTTACATTTGACTCTAAAATACTTTGGTATACAGAGGGAGTTTATGGTCAACTCAATGACTGCAAGGTGCCCAGGTCCTGTGGCTGCAAAAAAAGCCCAAATTATCACCCCTCCACCACTGTGCTCGACGGTTGGTATGAGATGTTTGTGCTGATATACTGTGTTTCGTTTTTGCCAAACGTGGCACCGTGCATTATGGCCAAACTTCTCCACTTTGGTCTTGTCTGTTCAAAGGACAGTGTTGCAGAAGTTGTTCTATCCCAGCCTATTGCCGTCCTTGTTAGAGGCACAAGGACCAAACCCCTGCTGATACAATAGGCTGGAAACTTTAAAACAAAACAAAATCCCTTTTATTTGGGTGACAATCCTGTCAATAAGTCCAAAACACAAACAGCAAACCTCAAGTCCAAAGGAAGGAAATAGTCCACAGGAACACGTTGCAAACAAGNTGACTCCTGCTCCTCACACAGCTGAGCTTCATCAGAAACACGACTGGAGGGGCCAGGCTCTTCATCAAGCCGTGAGTCTTGTAATTCATCAGAGCCTCCCTCTGACCCTGATGGCCCCTCAACGGCCTCCTCCACCTCCTCCTCAGATTCCTCAGACTCAGCTGTTGGGAACACAGGCTGGCACGGAATCACAACAGAAGTCTTGTGATTTGTTCAGATGCAACTTTGCTGCCATGTTCTTTTTAGAGAGAAGAGGCTTTCTCCTGGTAACCCTTCCAAACAAACCATACTTGTTCAGTCTATTTCTAATTGTACTGTCATGAACTTTAACATTTAACATGCTAACTGAGGCCTATAGAGTCTGAGATGTAACTCTTGGATTTTTTGCAATTTTTCTGAGCATTGCACGGTCTGACCTTGGGGTGAATTTGCTGGGATGTCCACTCCTGGGAAGGTTGGAAACTGTCTTGAATGAGGATGAAGGTTCATTCTCTGAGCTTGTGGGCTGGTTGCCAAACGTTTCGTTACCAGGCTAGGTAACATCTTCAGCGGAGTTTAGGGGATGTCAGTATCAGTGTTCTTCTGTTTATAAGGGCTTTGTGTGGTCACTAGGTCTTGTGATGGTGAGGTCACGTCAGGTCAGGGTCCCATCAGGTCAGGGTCTTGTGATGGGTCAGGTATGGGTGTGTCAAGTGAGAGACTTGTGATGGGTCTTGTGATGGGGAGGTTATATCAGGTCAGGGTCATTGGGAGGTGAAGTGCTGGTTGGGAGGGCTTGCATGGGTTGGTTGAGGGTCGGCGCTGTCTCTGGTTGGCTATCCAGTTGATTTGGATTCTGAGGGGTTTGTAGGCTGGTTGTAGGACAATGTGTCTGTTGATAGAATTGCTTGTGGAGTGCCAGGCGTCGATGAACTCACGAGCATGGAGGGTGGTAGCGTGGGTGATGATTTTTGTGTTGCTCCAATCGAACTGGTGCTGTTTGGTGTTGGTATGGGTAAAGATTAAGGATTTGGGATTGTGGCGTTTGACTGCCAGCCGGTGTTCTTGGATCCTGTTTTTTAATTAGCGTGATGTTTGTCCCATGTAGAATTGGTTGCAATTGTTGCAGTTGATTTTGTAGATTACATTGTTTCTTTCATCCTTCTGTATCTTGTCTTTGGTTCTGGATAATTCCTGGTGGAGTGTGGCTGTGGGTTTGTGGGCTATTGCTATTCCTAGAGGTTGGAGAATTCTGGCTGTCATTTCCAACACCCCTTTTTGTATGGTAGGGTTAGTTTTTGTGTGGTGGTTGGCTGTGTGGTGTGTTGTGGTTTGGGTGCTGTGTGTCGGAATAGGAAGTTTTCAGATAGCCATTACAGAGAAAGATGTCAAGCAGCTGTTTCTCTTCTGCTTTTCTTAGAGTTGTGGTACTGCAGTGTGTCCTGGCCCTTTTGAAGAGGGTCTGGACACAGCTTTTGTTTGCGGTGGGGTGGTTGCTTGCAAAACTGAGGATCTGTTCCATGTACATGGGTTTGCGGTAGATGTGGGTTTCCAGTTTTCCGTTGTCTAGTCTCCTTATGTCGATGTCGAGGAATGGGAGTCTGTTGTCTGTTTCCTCTTTGTGTGTGAATTTGATCCCGGAGAATATGTTATTGAGTAGGTGGCGTGTTTCTTCAATTTGGGAGCATTTTATAATGATGGTGTCATCGATGTAGCGTGTCCAGAATTTTGATTGGATGGTGGGTAGAGCTATGGATTCGAGTCGTTGCATGACTGCTTCTGCTATTAGGCCTGATATGGACGATCCCATCGGGGTACCTTGTACTTGCTTATAGATTTTCCTGTTGAACTTGAAGTATGTGTTGAGACATATATCCAGAAGTTTCATGATGGTTTCTATGGACATGGAGTGTTTTGTGGTGGCATCATCTTTGTGGTATGGTGTTTAGTGAGTAGGTGGTGGTTTGTTTAGCCAGGACAATGTCAATCGAGGTGAAGAGTATGGTGACATTGAAGGATACCATGATTTCTTCCTTGTTGATCTTGGTGTGCTTGATAAGTTGGATAAATTGTTCTGGGAAGTTTATTGAGTGTGTTGAGTTGTCTGAGTTTCCTCTGCAGGTTTTGCTAGTTTGTATGTCGGTGTTCCAGGTAGAGACACAATTGGACATAAGGGGATCGCGTTCTTGTGTATTTTGGGGAGTCCATAGAACCTGGGTGTGGAGGAGTCTTGTGGTTGCATGTGCTTTCTCTCTAGTGGTATTAGCTGTTTTTTCATTTTTCTTAGGATGTCTTTTATTTTGTTCTCTAGCTGCTTTTCCGGATCATTGTGGATTATTTGGTAGGTGTTGGTGTCGTTTAGATGGTTTTCAGCTTTGCTGATGTAGTCAGTTTTGTCCATTACTACCATCAGTCTGCCTTTGCCTGCTGGTAGGATGACAACGCTTTAGTCTTGTTTCAGTTTCTTTAGTGCTCTCTTCTCCTTTTGGCTGAGTGTTTCATTTTGTCTGTTGCATTGCACGTTGGGGATGATTCTTTGTCTGATGTCTTCTTGTGTTTTTTGGTCCAGTTGGTGTGTTTTTAGAATGGATTCGAGATTGGCGAGGAATTCAATGGGGTCAGCATCTTTGTGGTTGAAATTGAGGCCATGTGTGAGGACGGCCTTTTCGTCATCAGATAGAGGTCTGCTGGATAGATTTCTGATCCATAGTTCTGAGTTGTTGTCTTGTGGTTTTGGGGTGATGGTATTGAGTTTCTCTTGTAGTGAGTTGTGTTTTGGGGTTTGTATTTTGTTGGCATTCCTGTGGACCGTGCATTGGTATCTATCAGGTCTTGTCCGATGGAGTGGAGGCACGCGGTTTTTTTGTTTGTCAATGATGCATTGATATTTTTCCAGGTGGTTGTGGGTATCAATGATCATGAATCGAAGCATTTTGCATCCATTTTTGAAGGCCAGTTTCCATGCTTGTGGGTGGTTGATCGGTGGTCAGTAGTGTATGCTTTTTGGGGTTGTTTGTGGAGGCAATTCATGGAGGAAGGGTAGCTATTTGCGGGTCGATGATCGTTGAAAGTCTCCCAGCAGCAGGCAAGTTTAAGTGTTGCACACCCATGTAGGTTTCCAATAGTGGCGAATATCTGTAGCTCAGGTGTAAGATGAGGGTGAAGGTTCATTCTCCAAGCTTGTGGGTTGGTTTCCAAATGTTTCATTACCAATTGCTTCTCTTAAGATCATTGCTGATGTCTTCACTCTTTGGCATTGTGTTAACACACACCTCAATGCTGGAGACCAGCAAACTCTTAAAACTAGAGGGGTTTTATCTTTGATCATGTGCATTTCTGTAGATATGTAGATTCTGTATTTCTGTAGAAGAGGGGGTCACCTGGCTGCTACTTAGCCTCTTTGTACTTACAGAAGCAGTAAGGTTGTACTTAGTTTTTCACACATGGCTTCTCCATTTTGGTTTTCTTTTTGTAAAATAAATGATGACATGGTGTAAAATGTCATGTGTTGTTGTTCATGAGGTTGCATTTGCCTACTTTTAAGAACTGCTAAGGACCACATGTTTCTTACTATGTCCTGCTACGTAAAATCATAGAACTCAAAGAGGGTGTACTTTCTTTTTCACATGACTATATATGGCCATATTTGATGATGACCATGGTATATGGAAGACTGCAAACTAGAATATAAAATGAATAAATGGTAAAGAGCATGAGTTAATGAAAAAAGAAAAATATGTTGTATGTCTATGAAACACAGTAAAAGGGGAATGATGTAAGAGATCTGAAAGAAGGTGATTGCAGGAGATTGCAGGTCAAGCGCATCATCATTCTCAAGTCCCTTCGTGCCCACAAGAGATCTAAGTCCACCCCACCTTGAGTTCCATTGACCCTTATCTAC